TCCTCTCATTTTATGTTCCTTTTAGCGCTGGGATTAAGGGTGTATGACTCCCTAATACTGGGATTAAAGGTGTAGGCCACCACCACCTGGATTTGTTTCTGTAGTGATCTTGTGTAGCACAGGGTGACCTTGAACTCACAGAGATCAATCTGACTGTCTCCCAAATCCTGGGATTAAAGGTGCATGTCACCATTGCCTGACCTCTAGTGGCTTTAGCTTTGCCTCTAGTCTTCAGGCAAGATTTATTTATCAAAAATACAAATAATATATCACTGCAATTTTTCCTATTTTTTTTCTTTTTGATGATGCTTGGAAAGGAACACAAAGACTTCATACAGTTTAGGAAAGCAGTCTGATTAAGCCACAGCTCTAGCCCATGTGTATCAAATGCAGCAAATACAAAATGGTGGAACAAGATCCAAGAAGGTAGTGTATGGTTTAATCAGTTAATGATATAAGGAAAAAAGTCAATGCTGGGTAAGGCTATCCTTAACCTTCCCAGTAGTCAATGGTAAAGGAAATAATGGATTAAAAATAAATCAGAGAGACTTTCCTCAGACCTTGTGGTCTTTTGTAAGTTAGAAATAATTTCTTTCTATCGAATTAAACTTGAAGTACAGCATAAGTTATAGCAAGTACTATTATGGTAATCATGTTATGTAGGAAGACCTTGTATGATACAGTACTCTTCTCCCTAGAATGTTTTTTACACGACTACCTAAGGATAACAAAGCCCAAGCATGGGTTATAGTTCCATTAGCCCAACATCTTGATGTGTCATTCATGGTGACTTTATTCATATTTCAAATTTGTTATAAAGTGAAAGCTAGTACCAGTATTTTAAGCTTGCATAAAATGTAGTAACACCATGTGTTACTAACATATATATGTGTATATATATATATACACACACACTAACCTATAGAAAACATTATTAACTGAAAAGATAATAAATTATTTTAACATAAACATTTGACATATTATTACTTAGGGAATAACATGAATTCAGTTTCCATTTTGATTGCTAAATATCTTTAGAAGACCACTTGTTATTCCACTTTTACTATAAATAACTTTTCACTGGAAGAACATGGTAACAGAAAGCTTAACAACCCATTACTAAGATTTTTAAGGTATTAAATTGGACATATCTTCAGGAAGTTTGGCATATCTTCAAAAAAGTTATTATTTTTCTTTGTCTTTTTTCCAGGTAAACACAACTTAGTAGATGTGAAGACATGATAAATATTGCACATTTTTATATATTTAAATATTATATCCAAGGCTATGACATCATTTCCCTTTACATCATTACACATAGCATTTTTAATAACTTAGAATAGTATCAGCCTACAAATAGTTCAAAAATTAAATTATATTTATTGAAATATGACATACTGTGTTCTTACCTTATATTTAAATATTATTTTTGAGGTGTTTTCCATTTTCATGATTTATATAGATTGTGGATGAGACTCCAAATAAAAACTTTAATTAATACCAAAAAACAAAGTATATAGATGTTGGGCATGGTGGTAATTAAAGATTTTTGGGAAGCTGGGACAAGAGGAACACTTGGAACCCAGGAGTTCATGGAATTCATGATAAATCTAGACAACATAGCAAGACTATTTCTCAAAACAAAACAAAGGAACTATATATGGAAAAGTTCGACATTTTCAGTGTATGAACACTTTATTAAGAAATCATAAAATGAAATCATATACCTTAAAAGTCATGTGAGTAGAACATGTGCCCAGCCCTGAATTTGACTCCCAGAACTTAAAAAAAGGTTACAGTTACATGAGTATATACAAATAAACTGGAGAGAAGTAAAAAATAAAATTTTGTTTTTCAAATTGAGAAACAAAGAGAATACCTGATTAGAAATCACTCAATATTCCTTAGAAATTTTTCCCATGTTTCACTGAATATCCACTTTTCAGTTCAAAGAAACTGAGCCAGCAAAGGTGACTTAAACAAGCTTTCTTTGTTCTGTCAACTATAGGAAATATGACTGATTCCTTATCTGAGGTGCAGCTATGCTCCGTGGTGGACAGGGATGGATGTTAAATCACTTGGCTGTCTTTCTGCCTAGCCCTGATTTCCCCATTTAGAAGAGTATACTAACTGCTTAGCCTGTAGGGAATCAAATTAACTAACAAACATGAAGAACCCAGGACGAGTTCTTGTTGGTTGTGTGTCGCCTTTTCTGCCCAGAAGGAGTAAGATGGCAGTGCGGGACTGACTCATGTCCTCCTGTAGCAGAAGCCGCTCTGAAGGGGGGTTGGGTCCTTCCAATCTCTATATAGTAATCATTTCTCTGTGTGTACTATAGTGAGGAAGAGAAGTCTGTTCTAGACATGCTACATCTATTTGAATAGAAACTAGGAACATCTGCAATTCCCTACATTGTTTTTTTTTTCAGTAAATCACCTCCACAGACAAGAAGCACCAACATTCAGTAACCAGAAGAAAAGGAATACATTTGCATTCCTGTCTCATGGAAATTCTTAAAGCGGTAGTATTCCAACTCTTCTTAAGCTAACTGAATTGGGCACAAAACAAATAAGATTTTGGTCAGGGATGGTGGTGTACAGAAGTGTGAATTCTAACAGCAGACTGGACAGACATGCCAGGCCCTTTATCACTGAATTTTCCCAATGTCTGTTTTCATCCTTACCTCATAAGTAAAGAAAATATATAACAGCAGAAACAGCTTTTCAAAATTATACATGCAAGCGTGTAAGAGATAGGATTACAAGTCAAAAGTTTGACTCCAAAGCTCATCCACTCACTCATGTAGTCAACATTTATGGAGCATCTATACTGTGTTGACACTACCCTGGAGCCCCAAATAAAGGAGGTTGCTTTGAAGAGTGTACACGATAATAGGTTCAGACGCCATGTTCCCAATCACTATACTATAGAATCCCTCTCAGATCAACTTGAACATTTATACTAATATTTATACTAATATTCAGTTACTTACATAATTGAAATTATCCACAATTGGCTATTGTTATAAATGCCATCAATACATTAGTAAACTGTTGTTTATTATGAAGAGCTGCAGAGATGGTTCAATAATTAAGAGCATGTAATTCTTGCAGAGGACCTGGGCTCAATACCCAGCACCCACATAGTGATTCACAACAATCTGTAACTCTACTTCCAGGAGACCCAATGCCATCTTCTAAGCTCTCCAAACACCAAACGTGTATGTGGTGCACATACATACATGCAAGGAAAACATTCACACATAAAATAAACTAAATAAATCTAAAAAAATACAGAACATTTCTGAGATAAATGCATGATCAGTCTTCTCTAAGATCAATCAGAAGAAACTGTCTAGTTATTACTTAACAATGTACTTTGGGGGCTGGCAATGCAGCTCAGTAGTAGAGCCCTTAGCATAGCACATGTGAGGCCCTAGGTTCAATGCACAATACTGTTGGCAATGTTACACTTACCTAGGCAATAAACCATATCACTAGCTTTGGATGTACGGATTCTGTATTGGTCATTACCCAATTGCCCTAAGGTATGATCATGCATGTCTGCTACTGACAGCTACTTATGTCAGACACACACATGGACCTATGTTTGGGCTTGTCCTTGCTTGATACAAGCCTTCTTCTTGTAGGAGAACAAGAGATACATTATGTAAATTAAGAAGCAGGTTCTAAAATAAATAAATAGACTTCAGATTCAAAAGTTTAGTCCAACAGAAGTGAGGATGAAGGACACTATGGAGATGAGGTTCTGAGGAGATGCTGCTAGGCTGTGGGGAGTCTCTCAGGATGGAGGTAACTAGAAACTGAATTGAAGTACTTTAAACTGGAATATAAATTGTCAGTGAACTCTCCAGTTCAGTGTCTAAGGAGTCTACAAACATGACTTTAAAACACTTCATTTCAGATAAAGGAAAAATAATCACCGCATTTTTTTAGAATTCAGATTTGAATTTTTCTCTCCCCTTTGCCCTCCTTTTTTCCCTTCCTTTCTTTTACAGATTTTGGAGACAGTGTTATTCTGTATCACAAGCTGGCACTGAATTCAATATATAACTTATGCTGATCTCAAACTCAGCCTTTTAATACAGCCTACAAAGTCTTTGGGTTACAGATATGTACTATCACAAATAGCATTCTTTATCTTTTCAGTTCAGTTTTAACAATGGGACTAAGTACACAGAAAATGGAAATCCTTTTATAGTGCCCTAGAATGGACATTAGATATTTTTCATATATAATTGCATACATTTTCACTGTTTGTCTGAGATGTATATTTGAAGGACCAAAAGATAAAAGCTTAACAATTACAGGTTTGAGATTGGAGGCAATGAAGTACTGGAACAATCCACTTATTTGCTCACTAGGAGGAAATGAAGCCATAGCACTAAGTCCTGTGCATGCTCATAGGTAATATGGACTTCAAGTAACAAGGGTATCATCATGTAGCCAATTCATGAAAAAACATGCAATAACATATAAAGATGCATAGGTAGTTATGCCCATGGGAAGGGGAGCTGACATGCAGCTGGTGGGAAAAGGAAGGACCTGAGAATTTACCTGACAGTTGGGTAGTCTTGCCTCCCAGCTAGTTGTGAGCACTGTGGCGGTACGGAGGCAGCAGGCTGCTGACAATCTACAAGAAACTAATAAATTAGACATGTATACAAAGAGATGACATACAGGTGTTAGCAACAGTAACTAAAATAGCTGCCTGAGATTTAGTGAGGAATGTGCACTTAGAAACATCTAGATTAAGTATGTTTACTTTGGGTGTGGGTTTTCCTTGACTAATGTCAATAGAAAAGACAGATTTTTCTTAATTAAATAAAATATTAGAAAAGAACTAATGACATAAAATTAGTAGTAAGATTTTAAAAGTACTATGCCCTGTGTTCACTCATACTTGATGATTTGAGGCCTCTAAAGTCAAAGAGTCGAACAATATAAAAAAATCTTCAGCTTGTGAACTTGAACATGATGCTGATTACTTGATCAGCACATAGATCTGCTGTTCTAATATGGAATATATTCAGGTAACAGATTTTACTGTCAGGACATATAGAAATATTGTTAAACACACAGATATTTTGAGAAAGTCAAGCAATACTTTATTAACAGGATATTGAACAAAAAATTATCTTTACGGTTTTCTGAAACGATTGCATTGAAAATAATTGTTAGCAGAAATCTTAGGTGGTTCACTATATAAGAAAATTTTAGTAACATGGACTGATAAAGGAAAACAACCTTATTAATGGTACTCACTTTCTTTTGGTTTTGTTACTTTAATTCTATACTATAATACTATAATTTGTGCTAGATTAACTACATGTTATAAGTTGTTAATGTATTAATCATAACCCCACACCATCAGTCTGCTTTCTGGCACAGGGTTCACAATATTAGAAATAATGCAAAAGGCTAGTTGAAAATGTATGCATAATATTTTTGCAAAAAAAACTGGAGAAAAGGAAAAATGAGAGTTGGACTTCACAATAATTCTTGAAGCATTTTCTTTGGTGAACAGTTTAGACATGTAGAAAATATTAAAGCCAAGTCATCTCAAATTTTGGATTTACAGGGATTAGTTGAAACTCTACTGAGATTTATGTTTAAAAGCTCATATCTAAGTAGGGTGTGGTGGTGCATGCTTTTAATCCCAGCACTAAAGAGGCAGAGACAGCTGGATCTTTGTGAGTTTGAGGCCAGCCTGATATACAAGAACTAGTTCAAGGACAGCCAGAACTGTTACACAGAGAAATCCTGTCTGGAAAAAAAAGAAGCTCATATCTAAGTTACTGCTATTCTAAAACTACTATATTCTATGTTATAACAAGACATATCAGAATTTGGTAATTTAGAATATCAAAATTCATAAAAATGTTCTTATGTAAGACATTAGAAACACACAAATTTTCTAATGCAGTGTAGAAAGCAACACAAAGTAAGCTTGATTTGAGTTCTCTATAGCATCATTATTGAAGGGTTTCTTTTACACAATGATCTTTGTTACAGGTTAACTATTTATTATTAATAGGAATGAGGAAATCTGAATCTGTATTAACTGATATTTAGACTATCATACTTGGACTTTTCCCCATTCTCTCAGAACCAGAAGGGTCCTCTTTTTGTTGTTTTAGCCCTTTTCAGTTTGACCAGTTGCAATGGTTCTCTTTTATAAAAACTCAAGTCTTTAGAAATTAATTCCTTTTATATTGAAAATCTGTCTGCCTCTTTTTTATCTTCCAAAACTTTTTATTTGTATTATAATGTGGAAAAATTTAGATAACTAATTGAATTTTAATTGAGCCATCAGATATTCAATTTTTAAGTTAACTGGGTGTATGTTGCCCTCTGTTAAGTAAGTATGATGAATGGGAAAATGACCTGGACATATATTCTGTAATCTTTACACTTTATTTGTCAGCAAGGGATAAATAAAACACTTCTAAAACAGAGCCTTAGCCTTTGTTGAATGACAATCCTTAGAATGAACTAAAGTATGAAAATTCTTACTTTTTCAAATCTTCTGTATACCAGAAATATTTTTTTGCAATGCAGTTATGACTTCGCATGCATTGAAAATACCCTTTCTGGTAATATTTAGCAATCGAGGATCAAGACAACAGTGTACTCCCCTACTAAGCTGCCTGATTTGGTAACTCTTTACATTTATAATGAACACCATGTTCTCTTTCCTTTTAAAAGATTTTTTATTTTTATTTTATGTGAATGAGTGTTTGCCTACACGTGTGTATATGTATCATATTAGTGCTGGTAGCAACAGAAGGTCAGAAGAGGGTGCCAGATACCCTGGAACTGTAGTTACAGGTAATTACACCATGTGGTACAACTGAATTTAGGTCCTCTCCAAGAGCAGCAGATTAAGAAACAACTGAGCCATCTCTCCAGTCCTATAGTCTCTTTTAAAAATAAATCACTTTGCTGGGCATGGTGGTATATGTCTTTAATCCTAGCACTTGGGAGGTAGGGGAAAGCAGATCTCAGTGTTCAAGTTCAGCCTGTTCTACACAGTGAGTTCCAGGCCAGCCAATGTTATATAATGAAATTCTGTCTAAAACATAATAGTAAGTAAATAAAAATAAGTATAGACATCACCTCTGGTTATTGTTAATATTCCATGTTTTAAGAGCAAAAACAACAAATTCCAAATGTACAAACATAATGTAATGATGTGAATAAAACTTTAAAAGCTACATTTCTCTGACTCAACTGTCTCTAAAATCTCCCCTGTGAGTCCCCTGGGTCCACACCCCTCTAATTATGACAACTTCAAGTCAAACTGAACCACAGTATTTTAGCATACACTCTGCAAAGCAAAGCATGTATGCTGGGAGATAGAAAAAAAATCCTTCTCAGGCTCCAGTTCCTGATCTCCCAGCTCTGACTATGATCTAGCGCAGACAGACTCTTGAGGGAAGTATAGCTGAGTTTCATTATTTTGAAAGCATGAAAGATGACAATTATGTGGCTTGCAGAGCACCCACAGCTGATGTTGTCATTTATTGATCAAGATAGTCTCAATTATTCAATAATCAAATTACTAACTTTCTGATGGAGACTGTTGGACAATGGGGACAGAAACACAAAGAAGATAAAATCTCTGCTTGATTGAGAAAAATACATTCAGTGAGCACTTACAATAATGTGGTATGGAGATGGTGAGGAGGAGGAAGATGCTAGCTACAGCATCTGGAAATCACTCATTGCTTACAATGTGTCAGGCACTGTGTTCTTGACTACTCTTAAATTTCTATCAGCTACCTCAAGAAAGTATTAGCATTATATAGTGAAAGAATACCATCATACAGTTGAGATACTGATTTGAAGAGAATCAAATACATTGAAAACACAAAGGAAGATGAAGCATCCAAAAACAGGGATAATATTTTGTGTTCTTATTTTTTGTTAGATTTGGTTTGTTTGTTTGTTTTTGTTTTCATGGCTAAAAACTGATTTCTCTGGTAGAGAGGAAGAAGTTTTGCTTTACATCTTTCTCTCAAGGTTCTACTAGTTTTAACATTTTAAAATGCAATTTAGAAAATTCATCAATATACTAAAAAAAAAAAAAAAAACAAAACAGTGCCTTAAGGAGTCCCAAAATCCAATGATGGCTGCATGGAATAGGTGAGGGTGCCCTGAGTGGAACAACTTGGGACACTAGGCTTTGACTCATCCCTTCGCCCACATGACAGCAGTAGATGTGATATGAGATTATAGAAGTAAAATCTGAGCTGTGAGTACACTGTCTGCCAGAATGAGGCTCTAGGAGAAGTTTCCTTGGTTACCACATACTCTGTGAAAAGTATAGAGCAGTTCTCAATGACACACAGTCTTCTATAGCATGTCTTGTTTTCAGCATAGAAGATCTAATGAATTCTTGGCTTCCAGTGAAAATATATCTTCAATATATCTCTTGCACCATGAAACAAACCCAGTGACACTCAAGTTTCTGTGAAAACTATCTATGTTCTCAATACCAAATATTTCAAGCTCTTCCTATGAGACATGGTGCCAACTTCTCTCACTCTCCTCTCATGTTAACTCCCTCACTCTCCTCTAGAGGACATGGTCTAGTATGGAAACATCTTTCTAACCCTGAGGTGTAAAAAATTAAATCATATATAGTCAAGTATGGCAAGAGAAAAATAGCACAGCATACCTGTCTCATCTTAATTATCAAAATTCTATGAAAATAACAAAATCTGTATGACATTTAGAGCAACCATAGCCACTGCTATTTCTTGTCAATCTTTCTTTTTTTACAGATGGTGCTAACAAGTCAGGACTATGAATATATGTTTAGAATGCCAATGAACATGGATGTATACATATTATTAATAAAATTAAGGATACATATGTTCATAATTCCAGTGAAATAGTTTATATAATTTATCTGTCGTTTGGGACTTGAACCCAGGGCCTTGTGCATGCTAGGCATGCATTCTACCACTGAGCTACAATTCCAACTCCTACTTTTTAATGTTTTACGTTTATCCCTAATGCATTTCACCTTTTCTTACTAAAAGCATCTTTTTGTGTTCTACTCTGTCACTTAATATACTAATCCCTCTCCTATTTTTATGTATCAAGTAAAAAATGTGATAATCTGACTTTGATATCTTTATTTCACATTGGCAGCAATAGAGCTAGGTAGAGACAGATTTCATAAATTTTGATGGGTGATTTTGATTCTTTTCAACCAATTATGAATACAAAAGATTGTATGGTTAATTCTCTATCTGCCTTAATTTTTTAAACAGCTGGTTGTTTGTCAAGATTCAGATATACCACTTACCCTAGTTTTATGCATGAGAATGAAGTTTAGTCAAGCAGAAGCCATTCTGAATGAACTAGCCTTTAGCAGTCACCATTGTATACTAAGCAGATGAACCCGTTCATTTCCTGAAATTTGCAAAGATCAGGCTCAAGCTTGTGGACTGAAATTAGAAGAGCTTCTTTCTTCTGTATAAAATCTGTATTTCCACAATCTCTCTGGCACATTTAAGTGTTTATCTTAATTATTTCGCATTCTCTTTTTCTTTGGGCACTTATTTATTTATGTTGTATATGCACATGACATTTAGTGTCTTTCCTTCAGCAATAAAATTT